CAGGGTGTATAGCCTTTTTTGCACCATTTCAGACTTTGCTATTTCCTTATGATGTATTGGGATTAGTCCGAAGGAGGGATGGAAGGTGCTGCTTTGCTGCCCACTTAGTTTGCTGCCTCTGGAGTATCATGTTTCTCTGGTTCTTTGTTTAGAAGCCACAAGGCTGTGGCAGTCATTCAACTGCACTTCCCAGAATCCCCTCCAAGGGTCCTGGTTGATGAGGGTTCAGATGGCCTCCTGCTGCTAGCTCCTTGAGGAACAGCTTTAGCTTCCAGGAGCCCCTTTACCATAGGTCTTTCTACATTCAATGACTGAATGTTACAGGAGCTTTCAGGCCTTCCATAGGGTAGTTCTGATGCTGCCCATTCCAATGCTCTGTCAAGGATCAGGCTTTGTTGGGCCCAATTGCAGGTGGTCTCCTACTCTCTCTGCTCAATATGTTGCTGTTTCATTTTCCTTCCAGAAATGCTAATTCCTCCCAATTTATCTATTTGCCAACCTTACCTGCATCAGGTCCAGTATATGTTCTCATCCTACCTCGAGTCTTACGCTATGAAAGATGTTCTTGTCAGTAGTAAACTCAGGAGATACTGGTAATAAATACCACATATCTTGTACATATTTTCATGATTTAAAAAAATACATGAATCCTTAATGCAAACAATGAAAATTGAGACTAACAATTAGGTTTTCTAATTGTTCTACTATGATACTAAAGTGAATCTATTTTCAAAATATTAAAAAATTCGTATTAATAATTTTTAAATCAGCACTTTGCTGTTTGATTTGAAGAGTTGTCTTTCTGAGAAAACTCTTATACAGTGAAGGAGCAAACCAATCCTTGCCTTCAGGCAGTGTTGTCTTGCTGGTATTTACTATAGCTTGGATATAATCCACTGCAAGCTTTTTGCTTTTCAGAAAAATTGCCTGGTGTGTTCTACCTTTGGGATGCAGGAAATGGAATGGGAAGTGCTCTGTTTTGTCAGTTGAGGTACTCAATGGAAATAGAACATTACCTCAGGAATCAGTTGGAAAGAGAACCAGTGAGTTTTCTATCACTTCCTTCCTTTGGGGCTCTACATGTTCATATGACCACTGGAAAATTTATTTTTGCACTGATTCTCTGTTCATCTTTGTTTATTTTTCCTTTTTTTTTACATTGGACTGTCTCCGTTTTGCTGTTTTCAAGTTCATTAATCATTTCTTCTGGAAGATCTAATTTGATATTCCCATCCTGCATGTTTTTCATCTCATATATGTGCTTTAGTTAGTATCTTTTTTCTATCTATCCTCTCTTTACTTTCCTTTAGCTTTTGAGCATAATAAGTGCCATTATAATACGTATTTTAAGGTCTTCGAATGCTGTCATCTGTAATTTTGTGATAGATTGCTATTGATTTTTCTCTATTTAATTTTTTTCTTCTTTGCTTACCTGATCATTATTCATAGAATGCTAATATTGTAAGTTTTACCATGTAATGCATTTGGCACTTTTGTATTTCTAACGATATTCATAAGCTTTGCTTGGAATTTTAAAAATACCTTGATCTTCTCAGATCTTCTTTCCAAGTTTTCTTAAGCAGGATTGCTATAGTGTTTATTGTAGTTGGTTTTCCCTACTACTGATGCAGTACCTTTCTTAGAACTCTTAAGTGGTGATCTGTGAATTATGAGGTCCTCCTTTCTGCTGTTGAGATTTGGTACTATTCCTGGTCTTCACATTTACTAACTTGGCTAGAAACTTAATAGATTAGATACATAAGTTGTCTGAGACACATTTTTTTCATTGGTGCAAAGGGAATAGTAATTTCTTTTTTTTTCTTTATTGTGAAAATACCATACAGAGGGGTTACAGTTACATGGGCAAGGTAATGAATACATTTTTTATCAAGCATTGTTGCCCTCCCCTTCCCATCCCCCCCCCCCCCCCCCCCCGTCAAAGTTTGTAAAGTTCCTTTTTCGACGTAACATCTTGTACATCTCATTGTTGCAATGGGTCTACCTGTATCCCTATTTAAACAATTTGTTTTTTCCCTTCCCCTCCACAGAGTATACCAATATCAAATACAGTGAAAACAGGGGTTGTAATTTCTATGTGATGGTATTCCACCCTTATATCAATATAGCATAACTGACAGGAAGCATATGAAATATTTTGTAGTATCTACCACATAGTAAATGAGCAACAAATGCTAATTACCTTAGAAAAGTAATTTAGAAATTTTTATTTCATATTTCTTAAAGATGTCGGGCTTTTTAGTTTATTGGCTCATTTCTAGGATATTATATAAAAAATATCACCCATCTAATATCCAGTCCCTTTACTGCATTTCTTACATACTTTTCTTCACATATTTTTCTTACATTATCATAAAACATTATTATTATGTAGTTGTACAATGATGTTACAGATCTGTCAATTTATGAGTACAATGTCACTCCTTCCATAGCTGTCCCCATTTTCTCCCTCCAACCCTCTATTTACATAGTTCAAGTTTTAAATAATGTTCATTGAATATAATGACCACATTAGAAGGAATGATTTTATTCCATTTAACAATCTAAAGCACTGGACTTTGAGTTTTGTGGTTATGTGGACCTTTAGAAAACATAAGGTATATTGAAGAACCTGGCCGTGCCAGGGTCTTAAGGCCCTACATGGGCATGAAGGGTAGGTCATGAATGACTTCATTCTACTTGTGAAATGGCTTTCAAAGTTGTATTGACATTATAAATGCCTTAGCTCCTTAAAGGTGCCCTCTTCCTTTTTATGCCAATGGCATGGTTGCTAGATCAGGAAGATACTTTACTTTTGCTGTGAGAGAGATGAGAGAAATAAATAAATAGCAAGAGGTAAGCAGAGCAGCAGAACCTTGGGAGTCTTATACATGGGTACTCAGTTGTTCTACTAGCTACGGCAACTGTCTGAAGGAGCCACATGAATTATCTTTTATCATTAGTTTTCTGGTTCTTCGTCAGGGACCTCACTAATTATTAGCTGTATATTTTTGCCTCTATAGAAAGAATTGAGTATTCTAAAATATTATGTAACATCTGTAAGGACAGATTAACAACATTTAGTATTTATTACAATTATACAAGCATTTACTGTTTGGTCCAACACAGTATTTTTGTTGCAGCATTGTTTTCAATAATAAAATGTTGAATAGTCTCATAGTCTATGTCTGTCAGGGACTTCTTATATAAATGTGGGATAGACACATAGTGAAAGAAATTGTAAGTGTAGGAAAAGAAATGAGGAAGAACTCTGTTTTAAGGTGGGTAGGAAGTAGAATAAAATGGCATCTTATTGATAGTTCTCAGGAAGTAAAGATTGTGGGCAATGACCACTTATCTACCCTCCCACCTATTCTGAACCATGTCCTTAGTTGTTCCTGCCATTGGTGCAGAAGATGTGGTCCATAGGTGGTTGATACTGCAGACTTTCCATGGCCCTTGAATTCCTATCCTCAATCTCTACCTTTTAAGTGTTACTCTTGTGAGCTACCATACCCAGTCCCAATTTCTGTTTTACCAATCTATAATAGAAGACAGGAAATACTGTATTAACATTACAAACAAAAATCAATTGACACTTGCCATAGGCAATAGGTAATTGGGAAAAAACATTAAAATAGAGCAAAGGGAGAAATTTGCTCTCTCCTATAGAATTTGATCCATAAAGAAAAACCCTTTATCTTTTTATTCCATTATTATTTGATATTGGATCAATGGACAGGAAATTATGTATTTAATTGTGAAGCTCAGGTTTTAGTGTTGAGTAGACCTGGATTTTTTGGCCCACACCCATATTCCAAGCTACTCTGGAGGATCATTTATCTGAGGATCATGGTTCAAGGCTATCTAGGGCAGGAAAGTCCAGGAGACACTTATCTCCAATTAAATACCCAAAAAGCTAGAAGTAGAGCTGTGGCTTAAGTGGTATAGTGCTAGCCTTGAACAAAAGAACCTCAAGGACAGCACACACACACACACACACACACACACACACACACACACACACACACACACACACACACACTATATGTATATGTATTCTTACTCATGACTATGTGTATTTGAGGGGGGGGTCAGGTTTTTGCAAACTGTATTTTGGGAGGGGCTTTTCTTTTTTGATGTTGGGGGTCAAATCCACAACACTGTACTTGTTAGGCAAGTGCTTGCCACTGAAGTACATCCCAGCTCTACTACCTAAATTTTAAATCCCACAGAAATCAGAATGTACAGTAAATAAAAATAGTAACAAACCATTGCTTTTATCTATTGAGCACTTGCTATACCTCGACTCTCCATTCTATAGATCAGGGGAAAATACTGCATTGATTAAGTATTATGCCCAAAGTCACAAAGCTTTGGGTGTGGGACACCACCAGGACTTGGTTAGCATTTTTAATTCACGGAAGGTGGGGGGGAGGGTGGGTACAGGGGGGAAGGTTGCCATGGAGATTGGAAATACATTTAGAAATTTGAAACAGTCTTTGATTTTACCTAAATAGCTTTTGACTGATGAACTTCCTTTGTCTTCTTTTTCTATCCTTTTGGCTCTTGTAATTAAACTTGGAACTTCTCAGAATTTATCTTTTATCAATTGATATGCGAATCTGGAAGCCAGTGTAGTAAAAGTATGGTTTCTTTAGTTGTGGTGTTCTGTTGTTGTCACTTATAAACAGAATTACCTGCTTTCTACTAATCATGGCCTAACTTTCTGATGTCATGTGGTTTCTGGGAATTGACAGGTAATTGATTTGGTTTTAGAGAGTCCTGGAACTACAGAAATTGTTTTACATATTAGAAAAGATATGCCCAGATTTCCATAAGTTTTAAATTTATTGCCTCACCTCACAGTGTTTCAGATTAGTTTGTTTACTGTTTGTTTTACTCAGACTGTAGTGATTGGTATCTGGCTAAAGGCTAAGTTTGATTGCAAGAAACTGTAGACTACTTTGTAATACTATTTGTTTCTCCTTTGGTATCTGCAGGGTTGGAGATAAGATGGGTGGACTGCTACTTCCCTTTTACTCATCCTTCCTTTGAGATGGAGATCAACTACCATGGAGAATGGCTAGAAGTTCTTGGCTGTGGGGTGATGGAACAGCAACTGGTCAATTCAGGTAGACAAGTATCCTCAATTTTGTTGACCGGCTACCCCAAGGGATTCTCTCTTTTCCTACAGTTTTATTTGCTAGTCATTTACAGGATGTATATATACCTCTAGAAACAGCTTTCCTGATCTTTCTTCAGTGCTACTGGGTTCATATCTGACTCTGAGCTGAGGAAGAACTTTCTTAACATATCTCATTTTGAAAAGATCTCTTGTCTTTGGAGCTTTTCCTTGTCAACCTTGGCTACTTTGATTATGTGTTGAGGTTTTATATCGGTTTATATGTCATTGTTGCTTTGCAGTTGCCCCAGAGGTGTTCAATCTTTATCATCAAGTGCAATTTGTCTTCTAAATTATTTAAGAACAAATCTAATGCATTATTTTTTCTTGTTGCATTCGTTGCAGTACCCCCGATTCAACAACGACCTCACAAATAAACTTAAGCACATTGTAACAATCCTTGAGTTCACAATGTTTAGTTGTACTCTACCCTCAATGTAGGCAGTACTATCAGTTAAGGGTAAGTGCAAAGATCAGTACTGATTAAATTGTACCCCTGTCTATAGGTACTTGAGAAAGTTCTTTCCAAGTCCTGCTCTTCTTTTCTTTTGCAGGAACATTGCTTAATAAAAATAAAAGCGATAGCATCTAAACTTAATTTCAAAACTGTGACTTTTTAAAAAAACATCGTTATGCAAATTTAATAATTTTCTTTGGAGTTTAAATTCTCGAGGGAAAGTCCAGAAATGAGCATTTGAGCTCAGTTTGTAAGTAGTAATACAAGTATAGAGGAATGGATATTTGCTAATGGACATTTGCTGTTTGAACAAGACACTTAGGTAGGCTGTGATAGGAGTATGGTGCCTATTCATCAGTGAGGGAATGACACTGAAGTGAGACTGAAGAGAAAGAGTAGTATGAAATGTAGGAATTGTGTTCCCTGGGCTTGGGCAAATCCCTGACCACCTCTTCTTGTTCTCAACTCCTAGTGAGTACTGTAGGTCATGTCAGTCAGTCACTAAGGTCATGGGTTTTGCAAAATAGAGTTTTATTCACAAGGTATAAGTGTGAAGAAGCAGCAGCCCAATCTCAAATCCACTTCCCTGAGGATAGGGCTCAGAGGTATTTATGGAATAAAGAAACAGGTTGGGGCTGGGAAGGTGGCTCAGTGGTAGAGTGCTTGCCTTGCATGCATGAGGCTCTGGGTTCGATTCCTTAGCACCATATAAGCAGAAAAAAACAGAAGTAGTGCAGTGGCTCAAGTGGTAGAGCGCTAGCCTTGAGCTGAAGAGCTGAGGGACAGCGCCCCAGGCCCAGAGTTCAGGCCCCATGACCAGCAAAAAATTTTTTTAAAAAAATTAAGAAATAAAATAAAAAAAGAAATAGGGTGGTTTGAGGTACAGGGAAAGGTGATTGCCAAGCAGGGAAAAGGGGACATAATCAGTAGACTTGTCATGCATAGTCAATCCTCTTGGCTCTTCATAGAACATGTGTTTAGAAGTGGTGGTGGTAGATCCATCTGAGGACAGGGCTTAGCCTTCTGACAAAAGGTTGATATTTCAACTAGTTGAGATAGAAATGGCCTTACAAATTCCTGAAAAACTGCTTAAAAAATTATTACCATAGTGACCATTCATCAGAGGGGTTACTGATAGCAAAAGTAATGGGAGTGTGCTATTTAGCTTTGTGGTTTCTAAAAGCAAGTGGAACCACAGTGATATTCAGGTTTTTGCTCAGTTTTGCTGTTATGTCTCCTCTATCTGCAGTCTTTAGATTTAATATGCTTTCAGATACTTCTCCATTCTATTGAGTTAGATGAAGGGATGCCCAGCACAATACCAAATGCTTCTTGGACAATTTCAATTTTTTTTTTTGGTCGGTCCTGGGACTTGAACTCGGCCCCAGGCACTGTCATTGAGATCTTCAGCTCAAGGCGAGCCCTCTACCAGTTGAGCCACAGTGCTACTTCCACTTTTCTGGTGGTTTATTGGGGATAAGAGTCTCATAGACTTTCCTGCCCAGGCTGGCTTCCAACCACAATCCTTGGATCTCAGCCTCTTGAGTAGCTGGGATTACTGCCATGAGTTAACAGAGCCCTGTGACAATGTCAGATATTTAAATTGCTACTTTAGGAAAGTACAGTGAAACACAAGAGAAGTGATCAGCATCACTTAGGGCCTATGAGCAAGAGTTGTGAGATGTGTACTTCATGTCATGAAACCCAGTGGTTTTGTTACAACAGTGTCACCAATATCTGTATGTCTTCAGTCAAGTTGTTGTGCTTCTTGGTTTTCTCATAGTTGAAATGGGCACAATGTTGTTGTTCTCAGAGTTCCATTATAAAGATCAGGTAGGTGATACATATCAGTTTTTTAGTCTTAGCACAGAGTAAGTATTCTGTAGAAATTAATAGCTAGTGTTGTAATATTTTGACTTTTTTCTAATGAATCATTTTGCTAAGAGATCTCTTAACTGGAAATGTTTTAACAGAGTGTCCAACATATCATAATGGAACTAGTTACCTCCATTGATCTGTTGTCATTCATTTACCCACAATTCTAGACTGAGTGATTTTAAAAGGAAAACAAAGCATAATAAAGAACTGAAGGGAAAATCAGCTATACATGTGCATGAGTTTTAATAGAAAATACAAAATATGGGGTAAGTAAGGCTTATTGAATTGACCTTAGAGGCTCTATGGTCTTTTTTTTTTTAATACAAAAGATTTGAGTGAGTCCTAGGCTTCATACCCCTGGTATGAAGGGTCAGAGATAAGAAGGAAATAACAATGATTAACTGAGGTATCCTGCATTATAACTATATCCTCTATGGGATTTTCAAAGTTTATTCACAGTGTTTGATACAGTTATCTGAAACAAGTTTCCAAGTCATTGTTGCACATTAATGAGACTTCTGTTCTATAGTTAGATCAGGTGTACCATATATATCACCAAGCAAACAATGATAGCTAAAATGCAGATATGTTTCAATGATTCACAATGGTTTTAGGACCTGCTTCAAGCTGGTGGAATTGCATGCATAAATTTAAATATCTTGCAAGAAAGGGAAATTAAAGAAATGGAAGAAGAGGTGATTTTCTGAAAGATACTCTGTGTGATTTTGGTGGGTTTTTTTTCTTGTCAAGGTGATGTACAGAGGGGTTACAGTTACATAAGTAAGGTAATAAGTACATTTTTTTGTGGAACTTGTTACTCCCTCCCTCCCTCCCTCATTTTCTCCCTCTTTCCCTTCCCTCCACCTCTCCCCAAATTGTAAAGATCATTTCTAAGATACTGTCTTGTGAATATTACTGTTGCATTGGTTCCCCCCTTGTCCTTTGTCTCACCATTCTGATCTTCCCCTTCCCTTCCCTAATTCTCATAAATGTATATACAATATCAGATTACCAAAACCAAATACAGTGACAATAGAGAATGTACCATAGGGGGAAGAACACACAAAAGAAACAAAAATCACATAGTACATTAAAAACAATAACAACAAAGAAAAACCTCTTGTGTCCATGTCTTGGAGTTCATTTCGTTTAGCATCATCTTATATGGTCATATGTATGTAGCTATTGAGCTATTCTGCTCATCTGCTAAGATAATCCTAGATGTATATTAACTATTGCAAATAAGTGAAACCATGGGACCTGTGTTTCTTTGGGTCTGGCTTACTTCACTTAATATAATTTTTTCCAAGTTTTTCCATTTTCTAACATGGGGTAGCGTCACTATTTCTGATGGAAACATAGAATTCATTCACATATATATATATATATATATATATATATATATATATATCACATTTTCTCCCCTATGAGCCAGCAACCCAAATTCTAGGCATTTACCCAAATGATTACAAACAAGGCCATACTAAAGCTACCAGCACAACTATTACTTATTGCAGCATTATTCACCATAGCTAAGATATGGAACCAACCCAGATGCCCCTCAGTAGATGAATAGATCAAGAAAATGTGGTTTCGGTGTTTTTAGTTATTACAGTAAATCTTTCTTTTTGTTCTTAGACTTAAATAGTGTAATCGAATTGCCTTATATAAAATTAAAGTATGTGCTTGTCAGTTACCAACCTCAATCATTATTTGTCATGTGCAACTGACTTCCTGCCTTCTAAGTTCTGTAGCCTAAAATAGGACTAGTTCCACATAGTTATTCCTCCACTTGAACTTTACTGTCCTTTTCTCCTACATTTTTTCCCTTCTTTCTTCCCCTTCTCTCTCCTCCAGTCCTTTCTCTTCTTAAGAGAGAATTTCTAAGAAACAATATTAAGTGATGGTAATAGATTTCTCATTCTTTAAGTGATGGTCATAGAGTTCTCATTCTTATAGAGGATCAGATTAAGTACTGAAATTTCCAGAAACCAAAGAAGCTTATGATGGAGCAAGGAAAGTAGCAGACACCATTTGAACTGTTACTGTATACCAGCATCTCAGAAAGCAAGATTTTCCAACTGTCTTTTGTTTAACCTTTTTATCAAGGCTGAGAACAGTGATCCAGAGCTAATAGCTAATAGTTGAAGTTACCCATCTTTCTGACAGCATTTAACTATTCTACAGTGCTGCCTGAAAACTAAAAGGTTTTGAAGTGGTTAGATTGATTTCAAAGAAATCATTCTACCTAACATAGAATGAAGATCTAAAACCAATAGCAGACAAAATTTAACTTGTTCTCTAATTAGTTACTTCTTAAGAATGGCTAGGCCACCTTGTGTGTTATCTCCTGTGATAGTCCATTTAATTAAAAGTATGAAATTAGATTGCCAATAAAAAGTCAGAGAACATATTTTATACAGTGAAGTTGCCTGTGGTGTATTATGTGCCTTTGTGAATGAAATAACTGCCTTCCGTGGCATAATCTTCTTTCTTAATTTATGTATCTTTAATATTACTTCAGGCTCCTTAGACTTAGTAATTGTGATGTGAGTATTTGGTGTTTCTCTGATGACTTGGATATTTTTATTATTATTTTTCTATGAGGAGGTATTTTGAGGACAGGACTGAGTCACATCCTTAAATATTACACATTTGTTTCCACTGGCATGACTAAGGTTGCTTTTGCCTTTTCATATGGTATATGGAGCAGAAACATCTGAAGCTATCACCAGGGATGACTACGAGCCATGATTGTGTCAGGAAGGAATTTACCATTTGTTGAGTCTTCATAAAATTTACGAGATTGTACATAGGCTAAGGAAGAGAAAAAAACTGCACATTAGAAAACAGCTTTTTAAAAAAACAGAATCTATGTTCTTATATCCTCATTATTTTTTTAAATGATTCATGGGAAACTTGCAAATACATTCATATGAACAGTTGTTGCTTTTAAACAATCATTTTCCCATTTATTTGTCATATATTTACAGTAGTCCTCATGCTATAGGAAACAGAATAATCATTGTCCATTGTCCAATAATCATTGGAGACTATTACAGCACACAGACATAAAATCAGTGCTTTTAGTACTGTGTGGTATTTGTAACAGGAAAGTGGGCAGGGTGAGGGGGTAGATAAGAGAAGCTTATGCCAGAAGGTTGCTGATTGCTTTTGGAAGGATGACATAGATAATTGAAATACACATCTCAGGAGAAAATGGGGAACTATGCCCACTTGCTGGCCAATGAAAACTTTTTAGAGAATGTGGTGTTTGATGTGGGCCTAAACCATGATTCTCAGATGTATGAGGGCTAAATAATTTCACAGTTACTCACACAATCACACCATTAGAGTTTGCAGATCTTGCATTGGGATTTACATTTTGAACAAGTACTCTAGATAATTCTTCCTAAGGGTTTTAACTCAGACAAGCTTTGAAAATACTGTGATTAGGAGTATAGTTAAAGTATAATGAAATGTGCATTTTTAAACCGTATAGTTGGATTAGTTTTTCTTTTCTACTTATGTGAGAGGTCCCAGGATGTACTGTACTCCTGTTTTATTTTATAACGAAATAGGTAGATGTGACTAGACACATTTTTTTTAATAGCCTGGGTCCCACTGGATGGCCTGATCATCCACATCCCTGCTGTCTTACCTGTTTGCTCAACCATAAAGATGTGTGTCCTGCCAAGAACAGGATATGATCTTTAGTCACCTCATGAATTACTGTGCTTCTTACTGATGCATCCTAAGCTCCTGTGGACCCCTCACTTTGTGGAGTCTCTGCTGTCTTATAGTTGCTGTGGGTGAAGTGTCGGTGCAGCATGTTGTGCATGGTCTCTGATAGTAGGGGTCCTAAAGACAAGGACTAATGTCTGTGCATCCTAGTGGCAGTATAGCTGTAACTCAGGAAAGTGGTCCAGGGAAAACTGCCTAGAGCAGCAGGGTGGGCAGTAGCAGAGAATATTGATTGGTAGTACAGAGCTCTCATATTTAAGGCCTCAGGTCACCTGGGGTATAGGTTAATAAGTTTTCACATTTCTATGCAGCTGTGAAGCTATCAACACAATCAAGATCATATTTTCATCTCCATTCAGTGTTTCCTCATGACCTTTTTGTAATCTGCTTCTCTGTACCACCCTGTCTTCAGGGCACCACTGATACCTGCTGTGAGTTTAGATTCATTTGTCTCTTGTAATATATTATGTAAATAGGATCATTATACAATAGTCATTCTTTACAGTCAGCTTATTCAGCCAACATACCAGTGATTCGGAGATTGTTTTCCTTGTTATGTGTCTGTCAGTTTTGTTTCAGTTTGTTACTTTTTGAGTAGTGTTCAATTGTATAAACATACTGGAATTTGTTGTTCCTTTCATTTGTTGGTGGATATTTGGATTATTTCTAGTCCGAGGCTATTAAATATGAAACCACTATAGGTATTTGTGTGAATGCCTTTGTATGAACATGTTTTCATTTCTTTTAAGAAGAAATCTGTGATTGGAATGTTCTGTATATGTTAGTCACGTCAAAGGACTTGCCTAGTACTGTTCATTACTTTTATACCTAGTAGTATTTTTAGTCTCTGGAGTTTATCAATTACCCAGAAAATAGTGTTTTCTACTATGATTATGGGGTTGTATATTCTGTCCTTTTATTCTGTCAATTTTTCTTCCATTTTCTGGAACTATATTACTAGGCATCTGCATTTTTATGGCTGGTTTGTTTTCCAGAAGAATCACCCCTTTTTTCATTATGAAATAACCACTTTTATGTCTGATAATCCTTTTTCTTGAAGTCTTTTATTTATTTTAAAATATCTATTCCAGCTTTATTGATTTTTCTCTGTAGTTATCTTACTATTATTACAGTTGTAAATACTATTTCACATACATTGGAAGCCTCACTGTTTAATATTATATCTTTTTCTTTAAACACTATTATTCTTTTTAAGGAACCTAAAGTGCAAGTAGTATTCTTTTGGATTTATCTAGTTTCTTATCACTCTTCTTGCTTTTTCTTCACTTTTGAAGATCCGTGTTTCCTTCCAGTATTTTTTCCCTTCTGTATAAAAAAATCTCCCTTGACATTTCTTGTAGAACACATCTGCTAGTGATGAGTTTGTTCCTGTTCCTTTATTTGAACATGCCTTCAGTTCTTTATGATGAAGGATACTTTTATTGAATGTACAATTACTGAATGATGAATCTTTTTTTCCCCTCCTATCAATTTAAAGATAATGTTATCTTTTGCCTCTGGTTTCTAAAAGAAAATATTTGTTGATTGTTTTTAAACCTGTATATACTGTGTTATCATGTTTTAGCTATTTTCAGGATTATGTTTTGCATTGGTACTAAGACTTGAACTCAAAGGCTTATGCTCTTGCTCTGTGGCTCGTGTTCTACCACTTGATCCACACCTGGATCTGGCTTTTGCAGATTAATTGGAGTATCAGATTTGTCTGTCTAAGCTGCATGCAAACCTCGATCCATAGCTCTCAGCCTTTTGAGTAGCTAGGATTATGATCATGAAGTCACTAGTGCCTGGATCTTTTAACATCTTTATTCCTTGGTTTTCACCAGTGTGATTTTGATGTTTCTAGAAATGGTGCTCTTTCAGTCTATCTAAATCTCATATTAGTTCTTTTGATTTTTGTCCCAAGAGACTCAGACTCTCTCTCTTTTGTATTTTTTGTCTTTACAATTTTTGTTTTGTTTTCACCTTCATGTTTTACTCTGTCCTCTTACCTCCTTCTACTGCCTTGGTCATAAATAAGTTTTTTATTTCAGAAATATTGTTTTAAAATTGGCATTTGGTTCTGTTCTGTTTTCTTGCTGAGAATACCTTTATTTTCATTGTTGCCAGGTAGTCTTTCGATATACTTCACTTTATGACAAAATAAGTTACTTTAACTATCTACATAATAGTTTTAATATCTAGGTTTTCTTGACATTGACTTCTGTGAAGAATTACTGACATCTTCCTGGTTGTCAAATAATTTTGTACTTGATGCTGGACAGAGTGAAGGGTCCAATTAGAATCCTAAGATTTCTGTTGGTGCTTTCTGTAGGTAAGCAGCCTAAGAAGGCTTGGCCTTGTGTGGTTTACTTCCCATGAGCAGTGAATCAGATCTTGGTGTAAGTCTTTACTGGGTTTATTTGTCAACTTTTCTCATTGCTTTGGCAAAATATGTGGTAGAAACTACTTAAGGAAGGAAGAATTCATGTGCATGGTTGATGTTCAGTTGGCCCCAGGTATATCATGGCAATAGGAGTGTATAGAGAAAGAGATTGTTCATTTTCTTGTAGATAGGAAGCAAAGAGAGACAAGAAAGGACCAAGAGCCTGATACCCACTGAGGACCTTCTTCCTCCAGGTAAGTTTCACCACCTAAAGTTTCTAGAATCTTCACCAGGGACCAAGCATTTAAAACAGGATATATTCAAGCCACAACACAGGATTTGTTTAAAACTAGTACAACGGGCTTACATCTCAGTTCAGTTCTCTCAACTTTTGCTAGGTTGGCTTGAGCCTGTGCTATGCATGTGTTGCTCAGTGATTGGGCTGATACTTGGCAGGTTTCATACATAGAATTTGAACATCTCCTTCTGGACTTTCTTCACCCCTCAATTTTCCTCACCCATTCTAGATCACAGAAACCCTTCTTCTTGCATACAGACAGGTTTTTCTTTGAATTACTTGCCTGTTATGTTTTGTGGTTCTGCAGATAGGGCCCACCTTTGAAACAAAATCATATGAGAAAAAAAAATGTTGGAAATTACACTATGTATTACCTTACAGCTTTATACTGTCCTTTTTACTTTTCCTATTTGTTTACTTTCCAGAGTACTTTGCTAAGTTGTTCTGCGTCCAATCCCAGAGGTTTTAGTTGCAATTTGAATGTCAATAGACTATAGTGAGCTTGTCTCCCGTGGAGGAACTGAATGGTATATTGGATTGTGAAGACACTCTAGGTAAAAGCATAATTGTATGACAAAAGCATGTGTTTTGGGGAATATATGGTTTTATTCACTCTTGCATATTTAATCCACCTACTTTTGTAAGTTAGAATTAAGTCTGACATAGTTCTGAGGCAAATAGCAAGTTGAGTTTGTCTGCCATATATGAGACTTGGGCTCTTTTTCTTCCTTCTTCCTTTATCTTTCCCTGTCCCTTTCTCTTCTGTATCAGTCTTTGCCTTTTTTTTCCCCCCTTTAAAGCACAAATCAAACTCATCTGTATTAACCTTGTATGTAGGATTTGTCAAGCTGTCAGAACAGGAACATCCGTTCAAATATTGGTATAGTTTTTTTTTTTTCTTTTACTTTTCAGAATGGATATTCATTGGTAAGGATTTTATTCTACTATAAAGCAATCTACAGTAGTTGAAAATTTAAATCTAGTATTAAAAAGAAAGCAAAAGTAATATGATAATTTATATTAAACTTTAAAAATCTTAGGTATTTATATACAAAATTATCACAAATATTAATTGTAATATATGAATATATAAAATAAAGATAGAATCCTACTTTTTGTATTACTTTTTACAGTGGGTATGTTATGAGACTCTTTTCATATTGACAAATATCTATAAGCATCATTATTGCTGCTAATGGCCACATAGCTGTTGTGGTTACATGTGTGGTCACTCCCATACTGATGAGTTGTAGATAGTCTAGTGTTTATAGGTGTTTCTAAACACTTTATTTAGTATTTGCTTAAGATAGTTTATAATGCATACTACTGTGTGTGTATGGTTAGGAGAGAAATTGCATACAGTAGTTGAAAGTGTGTTTTTTCCCCGCATCCTTATGAGTAACACTGAACCGAATTGCCTTACCATTTAATTTTATGGGGAAGTAATTTTGTCCTAGCATTATTTTTAATTAACCATTTTCTGGTCACTAATGTAGTTGAACATGTTTTCTGAAGTTTTTTTTGGCTTAGTTTGTTTTCTAATTACACTTGAAAAGGATGGAAGGATATATTCTGCATATTTTCTTTTGTTTTTCTTAACTTTATTCTCATTTCTGTAAGCCTTTCTATATGTCCATCTCTATCCTATCTTCCCTCTTTCTTTCCTCCTCTCCTTCCTGTGAGATAGCACTGTTCTGAATGTTGTTATTGTCTTGAGTTTCACAATTTTACTATTAGGTTATAAAAAAGAACTTTCATCTGCTTCTATATTTTTACAAACAGAATCATATTGAAGATAATTGTGATTCGTAATACATTATGAAATCATGTCTGTTGTTACTCGTAAGGCTTTAGTTGTTTTCAGTACTTAAATTCTATTGCTTATTCATACATTTAATAACTATTTTATTATTTGAAAAATTATTGGTTTTTGCTGTGCATTCTTGTATTCAGGTATGTATATGTATAACACTTTCTCTAAGATATATTTTATAGAGCAGAATAACTGTTAATTTAATACTTATGAACACCTTTAGCTTTATTGAGTAACTCTAAGTTGTTTCTTAAAATAGTTTGCCTGTTTTGCAATTTTTTGAGCCTTTGCATGGAACTTCATGTTGCCATACATTTTTTTTTTTTTTTTAGTCAGTCACGGCGCTTGAACTCTGGGCTTGGGTGCTGTCCCTGTGCTCTTCAGCTCAAGGCGAGCCCTCTACCGCTTGAACCACAGCACCACTTCTGGTTTTCTAGTGGTTTTATTGGAGATAAGAGTCTCATGGATGTTTCTGTCCAGGCTGGCTTTGAACCACGATCCTCAGATCTCAGCCTCCTGAGTAGCTAGGATTATAGGCTTGAGCCACCGGCGCCCAGCCAATACATCATTTTGAACCCATGACCTCATTCAACTTAATTTGTTAGTTGGTGAGTTTAAAACAGTAACTCAGTGTGGCTTTCATTTGTATTTACCTTATTCCTGTTAAGGTTGAGCACATTTTTATACATATATTGATTTAACATTTATAGTTTTTCTTTTGTTTAACTATAGTTTATATTCTGATTCTCCTTCCCCCACTTTTCTAGACACCTATCTTCTCCCACCCTCATCTTCAACACACAAAGTTGAGATCATCCTCCCTCAGCTTCCCAAGTGCTGGGATTTCTGATGTTCACCACCATGCCTGTCTGTTTTGCTCATCTCTCTCTTTTTTTTAGTGAATTGGTAGAAATGTACACTTTTATTGGATAGTGATCATTTGCCATTTCTCTGTATTACTATTCTCTAAATTTGTGGTTTTGCTTTTCTATTTTTCTAAGTTGGTCTTTTCTCTTTTGAGAAATGTTAGATTTCTTTACACCACATACATTCCCTGAAGCAGTCACTTCATTGGGAAATGTGAGTGGGTGTTAAGTTGACAAGTTCCATGAAGGTAACCCTTCTGCTTGTCATGCTTGGTTCTCCTAGTTTTAAGTCTCTGATGTTATTGCTATGCTATTCATCTTTTCAGCACTGGGATTCTAAATGTTTAATGACTTTCAGGCATCTACACTCTCTCTGTAGTGTTTTGTCAGATTTGGTCCCTCCCTCTGTGACAGTTTCTCCTGGCTGGAAAGATGTGTTCTAGGATTAGCATTGAACTTGTCTGACTAGGAAATGTAGCTCCAAGCTTGCCTGGGGACCCCAGTTACACTACTTATTCAGAATTGGGTTTATTTCTTGATGTATTTTTTATTCTTTCTAATCCTGCTTCTAATTCATACTACTCTTCGATATTTCTCCTTATCATAAAAGTAAAGGTTTTAGCACTAGTTTTAAATTACACGTACCTACATTTCTTCTGTTTTTACAGCTGTTATGTGTTGCCAACTGTTGGCTATGTAATTTCTATACATAGAAAGCAGGGAGATTCTGTCTCTTGAGAATTTTCTTTTCAAAGCCTAAAGTTTTATATATTTGAAGACTATATAAAGTCTTTACCATTTAATTTCAGAGTCCTCCTCCCATTCATATGAGCTAAATTTTTCATTTCTTTCCTACTGCTCTTTTTCCCATTGTAATCCAAACACCCGAACTCTTAACACCGATGACACTATTTAGTCATTGGCTTTGGCAACTTGAGGTGAGTTAGAATATGAATCCTCACAAAAGAAGTATGTAGATAATAGTTTGGCTTGCTGAAAATGGTTATTTCTTTGATTAGGCTCCAGTTTTGTTCCTAGTTTTTCATTCTACCCTAGTTCCATACACTTTTCTCTGTGACTGAAATACATTCAATGTGGGGGGAGTATAGGAGCTTGCTTTGTGACTGCTTTGGCTAAAAAGATGTTAGCAGATATAAAAAAAGACTTGAAATAAATTTTGCCTTTTTTCACTTGTTATTAGGTATACATGCTTAGTACATAGTGCTGGTTTCAGAGTGGTGAGAAGCATGGCTCAACCCTAGCCTGTAGGAGTAACTGCCCCTTTGCTCCATAGATGCCTGGTGGTTGTTGCATGCCACTAAGATATTGTAGTGGTTTGGCCCTCAGCTTTTGCTACGTAATAAAATATGAATTACGGTTTATTCTAACCTTACCAAGGGCTTTATAGGAGTGTTTGGGATTCTTCCTGTATATTTTAATAGGACATTCAAGTAACATCACTCATTTCTGTCAAGTATTCATTCTCCATCTCTTTTGGTAGCTTAGAAGAGAAGGTAGTTGAACAAAACTTGACTTTAAATTTCTCTCCTAATGTAGAGAAGCCATTGAAATAGCTTGTCCGTATTTTAGTGTTGTATTTGTGCAGAATGGTAGTACCTGAAATCAGAAAGGAATTAGGTCTTGTATTTATCTGGAAAGCCTCCCTTATATGATTTTCGAAATGCTACTTAAATATGTAAAATTACATAGTTTGTGTATTTGAATGTGTACTTGTATGTCTTAAGGATTAGGACATGTACCACCCTCTTCCCATGGCTAAATGTGTTAAGGCTTAGTTCTCAGCGCATAGAGCTATTGGTAAGTGATGGAACTATTAAAAAGTAGAGCCTGGTGGGATGTTTTCTGTTCATTGCGGGCATCCCTTTGAGTGGTATATTGGGATCCCCGCCCTTTTCTGATTCTTTCCTGTAGTTACTGACTACCATCAGGTAAGTGGATTCCTCTACCTGTTCTTCCTATAATGAGGTTCTGCCTTGCCCTAGAATCAAAAGCAACAAGGCTAGTCAACCATGGATTGAGACTGCTGAAATGGAACCAAAACAAACCTTTCTTCTTTTTAAATTTGATTAACGATTTGCTACAATAATGGAAAACTAACACATTATACATCCCATATAAATAACCTTTTATTTTAATTTCATGTGTAAATGGAACCATTCTCTCAGGTAACAATAGGATAACTAGAATGTAAGTTTCATGTTGGCAGGATGTCTTTTGGTTTGAATCATTGTTGGTTCCCAGTTCCTCGAACCATGT